AATCGGTCATCTAACACTCTTATCTAAACAGAAAGTTCGGCAAGTTCAAGAGTCTTTGGCGAGTGTTCAGGCTGTACATCATGTCATGAAGTCATTAAGCCACATTAAGCTTTTCTGATCTCCTCCAAACAMAACTCGAACTAGACATATTTATTGGTCGACTTCTTCAAATTAACTTCGTTGCTCACTTTTTAAATGTGTTTATCAATATTCTTGTAATCATCATCATCACCTCTTTGTTTAAACTGCTAAAAGACATAAGTGACCAATGAGATGTAACGCTTCCTCTCGGCTCGTAGGGCCAGAGCGTATCCCTTCGCTCTTTTTTAGTACCGAAAGCAAGATCTGGTGYTTTGGGTAGTTCAACAACGTACTCGAAGTTCTCTGCAACAATTTTAGAACTGTTAGATGTGATAGCATGACGATTTAGTAAAAAAATGAAATATTACCTTTAGTGTCATACATTTTGTTGGCCACACACAATTTTTTTTTTCATAAAAAAAAATAATAAATAAAAAATATTTATGAAAAATGTATAAAAACGTCGCGGCTAAGAGCGAAATAAAACCACAAATATTCTCCAATGACTGTCGGAGCCAAAAAAGAAATTTGTACTGAAACATTTTTTGGATTTTTATTTTCGGGAAACTTCAAAAAAATATGTTAAAAATTTTTTCAATGTAACTGCGATGTTCAAGAACCTTGTTAATGGTATTTTTTAGCTGTGTAACTGTGACTAATATTTTCGAAGCTTCACGCTAGAGAGGATGAACATAAAGATCGACCAGTTATAGCTCTACGTTCATCGAGCAATTTCTTGATGAGGTCATACCGRGTTCGTAGGAAATTTTTAGATTGATAAGCTTGTAAACAAGTGCTCTTCATTTTGTTGAGACTGCTTCCACGTGATTGTTCCCTTGTACTTTTGAGATCCTCATTCGATCAGCTGGGCGTTACAAAAGTCCAACGAACGCATGAAACTATACAAGCGCGATCGCAAGGTTTTTTCTATATGAAGTGGTCTTTTTAATCTAACATCTAGGCATATATTTTGCTAGTTGAAACCCTCTTACTAATTCCTTCTTAGAAAACTAGGGCTTTGCGAGTCTATGATTCACTCAACTTGACTGTGACGCTTTCAGTCAACCAGGTTCTACCCATTTTGGACTTAGTCGCCTTAGAAGATGTGTATTTGTCACAGAGTCTCCAAATTATTAYGTATTTTGGGGGTTCTGGCATTTTGATTCTAAAGCTTTCAGTCAATTGGTACTAATCAGTTTCGAACTTAGTCGTTTCAGCAGATTTATGTGGTCACAAAGTTTTTCCAATATTTAGAAGTTTATTTCGTATTTTTGCGGTTCAAGCATTTGGACTGTAACGCTTTTAGTCAACTAGGCATTACTCAGCTTCGGACTTAGTCGTCATAAAAGATTTTTAATGGTCTCAAAAAGTTTCTTTTCAATACTGGGGAATTTGTTTTGTATTTCAACCAGATACTACTACGTTTCGGACTTGGACTTGGTCGTATAATAAGATGTTTGGTGGTCTAAGATAATTTTTTTAATCTCTAGAAGTTTATTTCATATTTTGGAGATTCAAACATCGCGCACTAACGTTTTTAGTCAACTGGGTACTAGACAGTTTCGGACTTAGTCATCTTAGAAGATTTATGCTGGCCTAAGAGAGTTTTTTTTTTTCAATATTCAGAGGTTTATTTGGTATTTTTTAAATTAAAGCCTCCCGGCTCTGATGCTTTCAGTCAACTAGCTACTACTCAGTCGTCTTAAAAGATTTTAAAAAATTTCAGTGAGTCTTTTCAATATTTTAAGTTTAATTTCGTATTTCGTGGGTTCAACATCCAGGCTCTAACGCTTTCAGTTAACCCAGTAGTACCCAGTTTCAGACTTAACCGTCTTGCAAAATTTGTGTTGGTCCCAGTGACATATTTGGAAGTTTATTTCGTATTTCGGAGGTTGAAGTTTCAGTTCCGGACTTATTCATCTTAGAAGATTGCTGTGGTCTCTAAACTTAACCTATAAAACTGACATGCGATAAAAATTGAAGCAATTTTATTGGTTTATAATAAATTCTTACTTTCATTGAGTACAGTATGAGATTACATTTAAGATCTTCAAGGACACAGTTTAAGAATTTCTTTTTTTTAATTTTGAACTAATTTCTATATATTTTTTTTTTATTTGTATTACTTTGTGAATTTATATATATTTTTTTAGCTTTTATTTAATTTTAATATTTTTTCTTGCAATTTTGTATTTTATATATTTTTTGTATTTTTAATTTTTTTTTTTTCAATTTTCACCGCCTCTTAGAACTTTATGCCTCGAGCTGTGATCGATCTTCAATATTGCACATACCATTTCAACAGCTTGTCGTACGACTGCAAGTAGTTTTCCACCCGATTTTTCAAGCGTAAAGTGGTGAGCGGAAACTTGTTCACCGCTAAATTGCCAGAGTAATGTTTGTGGTAGAAATGGCACCAACGCGCCGGCTTGAATTTACCCAACTCACGCAGTCGGCTCGAACGTTTYAAACGATTATACTTGCAATTATTCAACTCTGCTAGTTCGGCATTCATACACGGCCGACAAAGGTCCAAGTGCACGTCGAAATTGTGATAGTAATCGCCGACTGGCTGAGTTTGACATTTAAAACACCGCGACTTGTTTTCACTGCCACAGAAGACGGCGTAGCCTGGTATTACGTAACGCTGCTTACCGAAACCCATCTCTACTTGTTGGACGCGTCGTCGATACAAATAGTAATCGCAAGGTCTGCGAGGAAAAAGTAAAAAAATATTTTTATATATTTAATCACCTACATTTCATTCTGCTGTTACGATGGTCCGATGGGTTTGCCCGATGGCAGTCTAGATCTAGCATCGCTGGTATTAAATGGATAACACATTTTTACAGTTGCTTCTGGTTTCACATAATCGTAAGCGTTCGATGCGGGATACTCTGATTCGGGTGGTAATTTGAAACGCGGCGAACGATTAGCCATAGCGGTATAGCCACGGTTTGAGGGATACTAAATGGCGTAAACTTACTAATCGTACATACTTTTACCGTTATCTCAGACATATATACTTTACATTGTGCAATAGACCATATTTATAAGCTGGTGTCTCAAGTTGTTCCCCTATGATGAACTTCACTCTTGCTCTTCTTCTTTTATGGAGTGTCGACTTGCGTGTGAAGCGTTCCGTGCCGGAGCCGAAAGCGATTTCGGGCCTTTTAAACTCAGCAATGACATAAGGAAACTCTAGTGATTATTACAAATATTAGTTAACTTATAGGTTAGGTGAAAAATAGCGCTTTCACCATTTATTTTGTTTTCTAGTTCTAGTGCCGCTTCCGCCGAGAACATTGTAAGTTTATAAAATCACTCCAACGGTTTGAGAGAAATATCTGATCCAAAAATGTGCGAAATTTGTAAGGSCAGAAATTGGAAAAAGATTCGGACAATTTTCTTTTAAGCCAAACAAAAGAAAAWACAATTTTAATTAATTTGGAATATTGACACTTTACGGATGTTTGATTTAATGGGGGGATGCCAGATTGGAGATATATTTTAAAGTATCTAGAATAAAGTGATCTGAGTTCACACGAAGCCGCAAGTTATGTACCATAATGTGGTATATTACAGTATTCTCAAAAATTTTTAAAAGCTTTTAATTTTAAGTTCAATAAAGCTTGGTGAGCTATAAAGCTTTATTTTTTTTGTACTTACAGAAGCTATCTTGCTATTAAGTAATATGCCTAATATAAGAAGCACCTTAAGGAGCTTTATATTTAAGAACATTCTCGCAAGTAACTTCGATGTTTTGGAGCTTTAAAGCTTTCTTTTTGGTCATATGAGTTACTTAGTGCAAATCGGCTTGCATCGTTCAAGGTTTCTGAGTCTTTATGTCCTGCTGGCGTCGTAAAAACTAATCTTGAGCTTTCAGTCATTTTGACTCCATAGATGAAAATTATCCAGAACAATGTGTTTTCAAAGTCCTTTATAAGAGCTTTCATTTTTAATCTTTTTCGCTTAATCTTGGATACCTGTGCTTTAGCTCGTTTTGTGCTTTCAGTTTGAAATACTTTTGAGACGAAAATGATTCAAAACAAACTTTCATAACATAAGTTTTCAAAAGCACTTTGGAAGAGCTTTCATGGTTTTTGGTTATTTAAACTACTTTATGCATGTTTAGATGTATCATTTCATATTTCCAAATGTATAAACCTCGCTGCGGTCGTAAAAATAAATTTTCAATTAATAATGACTTTTTGAGCTATCAGTCATTTTGTGCTTTCAGTAGGAAATGTGCCTGACGTGAAAATTATTCGCAGCAAAGTTTGCCAACCTTAGTATTCAAGAGTTGGTTGGAAGTGCTTTCATCTTTAATCATCATCGCTTAATTTCGCTTACCTGAGCTTTAACTCGCTTTGTGCTTTGAAGTTGAAATAGTTTTAACATGAAGATAATTCAAATCATAGTTCCATAACCCTAGTATTCAAAAGCTCTTTGGAAGAGCTTTCATGTTTTTTGGTCACTTGAGCTAATTAGTTTATATGCCTCGCTGAGGTCGTAAAAATAAATTTTCAGCAATCAATTATGACTTCTTGAGCTTTCGGTCTTTTTGTGCTTTCAGTTGGAAAGACTCCAGACGTGAAAACTATTCGCAGCAAAGTTTGACAATCACAGTATGCAAGAGTTGCTTGAACGAGCTTTCATTTTACCAAGCCTTCGCCACCGTTTTTCTTAAACAAACATATCTACAACTTAATAACTTAACTTAACTTGTTTGATAACCTTATTATGCAAAAGCTTTTTGGAAGAGCTTTCACTGTTCAAAGCTTTCGCTACCGTTTACTGAAGCATTTTASTTTTAGTTTTAGAAAAATATTTATTAATTGCATTTATAAAGCACAAAAATGCTTTTATTGCCATACAGAGCTTTTCTAAATTCTTTATAAAAGATTACGATCTATCTCTGTATGTACATATGTAGCGCAGAGTTGCRTTTCGTGACGTCACGCATCAGCGCTTCTTAAACATGTAAATATAATTTTCCGTTTTGATTTTATAGCGCAACGTTGATGTRGGCATATGTTGTATGGCCGCCGTCGTACCCTGATGATCGTGAAAGAAGTCGCAGTACCTTACCGGTCGATATAGACTCAATTCGGTACGCATACGTGCACGATAGAAGAGATCGGTGGAGCAGCGCTTCAACATTTTCAACTGCTTGTTCATGCAGCGACGACACATATCCAAATTCAATTGAAATTGATGGAAATAATCGCCGACCGGAGTTTTATTGCACTTGGAGCATTTTGCGATATTCACGGGTGTGCAAATAACGGCAACGGCTGGCCAAATTATGCGTCGCGAACCAAAAGCGGAACATATGTTAAGACTGGATCGAGGTTGGTCGGCTGCATAATCGGCTGGACTGCAGAGACCAACAAAGAAATTTATTATACAATACAACAATAAAAGTAACGGTATCACTTTGGCTTACCATGGTGTTACGAGTTTCTTTATTTGAACACGTTTCGTGCCGATATTGAATGGGCGTGCGGCTTGTTTGATTTTCTTCTTCGGTTCAACATTATAAGCGCCAATTGGTGGAAAGCGTGACATATCAGTGGGCGGTAGGCGCGGCAATTTACTAGCAAACGATGAATAACCATACGCAGATGGATACTAAGGAAGCAGTGGGAAATAGAATATCAAAAAAGAAAAGACATTATTATTTTTACTGCTCACTTTTTTATCTAACGACTCCTTGCTGTGCACATACTCGAATGGACCGGGAAAATCACGCACTTCACCTTGTATTTTGCGCATGAATGACGAGAGACCCGGTCCCGACATAGGCAACGTAATACGCTCCATACAAGATCCGAAGGCAACACGTGGAATTTCTGGCGGATTCACCACATAAATAAAGCCTAGTGAGAAAAGAGGGAGGGTACAGAGATTTATAAATTTATATATTGCAATATTTTGAGCTTAAATGAGCTTTTGCGTTAGTACTCGKAGCTTTTAATAATTTTCGTTAAATATCGAGGTAAGTGAATTAAAGTATTATTTGAGTGAGGTAAAAAGCTTCTTTAGTCACTTCGTCAAAGCTGTATAGGGTTTCATTTCTACTGCATTGAATTTAACGGTCGTTTTCGAAAGCTTTTATGCTTTTCAATACCAAAAACTTTTACTGAAACAGGAAAGCCTGAAGATTACTTAGTCTTAACTCTTTTTCCTTTACGAAAAAATACAATTCTACTATAGAACCACGATTTGATCATTTAAACTGATTTTCGAAAGGAAAACGCTTTTGAACTTTTAAATTTTAATTAATAACTACGGATTCAGATCGCTATCGAGCATAAAACCTCGGGATTTAGTTACGAATGCGATTAATTCATTGATCTCCTAAAATTAGTTGTATTTTTTTGTAGAGTTTTTTCTAAGGAGCTTTCATGGGTCACTTAAGACCTTTTACTTTGTTGAATGGATGTGATTTCTTTACTTAAACGCTGAAATTAGATRTCTATTTTATATACTTTTTCTTCCAAAGAGCTTTTATTTGACGCTTAAGARCTTTCACTATGCTATAGGGTTTCAAAGTTGATTGCATTTTTTAGTTAGTTAGGAGTTTATTATAGATCCACAATATAAAAGCTTTTAATTTTTACAAATATTTTTTAGAAAAGTTAAGCATAAGTATATACTCTACTCATATTCAGATCGCTATTGAGCATAAAATTTAACTTTTCAGTTATGTATGCGACGATTTTATTTGAACGCTAAAATTAGTTAAACTATAATTTTTTTGTCTGAGGAGCTTTCATTTGACACTTTACAGCTTTTAATGTGTTCTGTGGCAGCGATGCCTTTATTCAAACGGGAAAACACATAACTAGTGTTTATAAAGTTTAACTTTTAAGAAGCTTTCATTCAAGACTTAAGAGCTTTCACTATGATAGAGCTTTTTCTTTCACTTTCATGACCCTTCATTAAATGTTTAGCAATTTTTTCTTTAATTAATAATCATAATCTTATAATTTAAAATTTATGAAAGCTTGTTAAGCTTTCACCTCAGTGAAATACTCTTATCTCTAAAACTAAACCACTTTTATATGAAATTACACTACATCTTGTATCAAATTACTTTTATCCGCTCTCGCCCGCGCTRTTATCAACTGCGTCTCACGTCTTTGCGCCCTCAAGGCCTCTCGCTCGTGTTTCGTTAACTTTTTAGTAAACATATCACCACAACTATCAAAATCAAACTAACGCTTAGCAAGTGCTCTAGCTAATGAAATAACAGTACGCATTGCAACCAATGAACCCAGCGAAATTAACGGCCAAATCAAACCGTCGAAGTAGGTCAACCATGAGGAAAAGCGCGTACATACAGTGCAAAAATAATATTATATATTCATAAGTGTATGCGTTCAGTGCAATTAGCCACCCGCAGGCATATGCTCACGCAACAGATTTTCGCACGCACATCCTTTTCCAATATTCATTGGCAGTTTAGACAATTTATTATTGTTACTCCTGCCTTTATACTTAGTACTTTAACTGTATATATGTATGTATGCATGATTATATCAACTTCGTCGTAAATATGTTGAAATCAATAGGGCTATTAATCGTCAAGTCAAAGCTAAAGACATTTTGTGGTACCAGCACTCTACCTCTTGAACATATAGTGCGTTCAAGAGGTAGATGAAGGTGGTCCTAAAGAGGAAAGTTGATGTTGTTCAATTGGACTTAAGATTCTATGGAACATTTACCTCAACGCACTATTTTTGTTAGTCCAATTCAATACTTCACCATGATTGAAGATGYTTCCTAAGAAGAAAGCCGATTTTGTTGTCCATAGGTTCCGTAGAACTTTTACCTCGATTTTTTATACCTCCTGTGGATAGTCTAATTCTATACTTCATTAAACTAGATTTAGCAGCTGAAAATAACCCAACATTCAGCCACTACAGGATATTCCGACGAAGATAATTTCCAAAAATTACCAGACGTCTTAAAATGGAAAATTTTTACTAGAACTTGATACTCAACTTACATCAATCCCAAATATTATGTTTAAGGGAACTGGCATACAATTTCAGTTGRATCCGAAATCGGTCTCAAATTGCTTATGGAAAGAGGTACACTTCTTTATGGAGGTAACTTTTTATAAACTTACAATTATATGACTTTTAGACTTCTGCAGCTTTCGAAAAACAAATTCCGATTCAAAGAAAAATACAAAAAACAGAAAAAACTAAACTTCGTCGATCCAGAGATACTAAAGTTTTATGGCGAATTTTTGACAAGAGCTTTTTATATACAATACTTCAACKGCTCCATATTGAAAATTGTATATTTTCCAGCGCTTTCAAGTCCCTCAAGGCTCCCGTGTAATCAATTTAGTTTCATATTTTATCTATTTTTCACTTTATAGATTCGATTAGAGAGAAAACTCACCTTCCATTGTGTTAATTCGTGGACTCTACTTAAAATAAGTTTCTACAAAATAAAATAAAAACGCGGATTACGGATATTTTATATATCTGTTTAAGGAATATTCAATTGTATTTAAAAAAAAAAATATCATAAACTATGACAGTTATGATTTTTTGATGTTACCAAATGGGCGCRATAGTTCATTAAGGGTGTTCTTAATGTAGCTAAGCACTCGGATTTAAGGCTTGAATTGTTCCGAGGGACTGTGCTCACGCAATTCATGTTTTCTATTTAAAGTATAGACGATAGTTGTCTATTTAAAGTATAGACGATAGTTGACTATCTTTAGTCCAATGACTGACCCTCTTGATGCGAATAAATGATGAAATAACAATGAACAACTGCTTGTTTTGTCTTTTGGAAGCGTTGCTTCATTATATAATAATTGTCTAGACTAGGTCCTAGGTAAAAAAAATTTTAGAAAACTCAGAAATAAATATGATAATTAAAATGCCAATATTGTAACATTGCTATCAGTTTCTAGTGAGGAGTTCAAATATTATTTTTTATTTGGATACAACGGCAGTCATTGTTAAAACAACGCCAGTAAAATAAGGACAAATCAGACTCTTATGACACTTTTGACAAAAGAGAATACTCTAGTCAATCAAATAAAAAGTTGGCTCGACACTTAGAAGACTTGGGAGACTTGGGCTCCACCTTCATGAGTATGCGCTGTATCCTGTTCTCTCGSTGTTTTAGTCCAACTTTAACTCAATGACTGTTTTTGGGAATTTAAAAAAACGATTGAATAAATTTTTTTACACTTATATTTATTTTCAAAAGAAACAGTAAAAATTTTCTAAGAAAAAAGCTTAAACATTTTTCGTGTTACGATTTCCGAATGTGCTAAAGAGTTCTCCACTGTCGAAGTGTACCTCAACCAATTGAGCGCATAGGAGCAGTTTAACCGTTAATCCAAGTAAAACTGCAAGGACTTAATGTTTTTATTTACTAGGAGTTGTAAGATCATAAACGTGTCTCCTCCCCTTCTTCGCCTTTGAGAGGTTTGGTCGAATAGACATACATGCGGTAAGGTTTGATGCTTGGTGAATGATAATTATCTTAGTTGTATGGAGAAGGTAGAGGCGAAAAGATCTACACACTTTCTCCCTCYCACCCAGCCTTTATATAAATGAGGCCGAAAAAGCTTGGTAATCTTAACTGCGGCGAATCAGAAGACATAGCTGAAATTGTTATTTGCTGTCTAAACAAATTTGTAACAAATTCAAAGCGCTTGGTCGATCTGTAAAGATCTTATGATCCAGTTAATAGGTACCACGACGAACCGTCTTTCTAAGCTGTTCAAGTGAGATCCCTCTTGAAATCGATCTACTAACCGAACCTGCACTGTTGCTGTGATTTCTGCCTTCTCTGTGGATGAAAAACACAAAAAAAATTCTCGTCTAGAAGATATTGTCCTTACCTAGGGCTACACTTAAACAGGTTGTAACTCAAAAACTACTTGTGCATAATGACTCCATATATCTTTCTAAATACTGTTATAACTGCTTTACTCTTTTCAAAACACGCCTTTGGGGTAACTATATATCGAAATCTCTGTCCGTTTTTCACTTGCATTTTTACTTCTCGTTGAGTAGCCAATTTAAAATATAAAGAACAGCCACTGTGATGTATTTATAAAATAAAGCAAATACAACGCAGCAACTGTTCCCTGCACTTAAATGGCGGTTTTCACACAAAAATCTTCTAAAAGCATACACACATTTTTTATGTATAAATTAATATGTTGTTTCCTAACGAACGCAATATAAAGGAAAATCACTGTGATATATTCTTTAAAGTGTACGTATATCACAACGAACGTTCCTTTTAACGCGTCGTTAGTCAAATGGATGGTTATATATTAATAACATAAAATAATGAGCTTTCACGATACACTGTTGAATTAATATTCACTTTACTAAAGCTTTCATTTCACTAAAATTTTAAGCTTTCAAATCAATTTGAGCTAACACTTTTCACACATAGTGTAAGAGTATCTTAGTTGAGAACCAATACGCTTTCACTAAACAACGTACACTTTCACTTCACTAAAACTTTAAGCTCACATGTTTTTCGCGTAGTATTGTTTTTCCACCACTTAATGTTGTTTTCGTTGCAACGAGCTGCAATGGTTGTCTAGCTTTATGAGGAAATAAATCATCAAAGCTAGACCACCAAAGAAGCTAACTGCTTCGCTTAAAGTTCAATGAGAGAAGCTTTCACAACATCTACAATTTCTGTGTTGCATTTATTTTAAAATAACTACACTTATGTTGTTTCCTATATGTGAAATTATGGGACAAACTTTACCCAGTGATGCARTAGGCAARCACCAATACTGAACAAAGTTGGTCCAATAATTGTATAGGTTAGATAAGTGAGATTGAAAACGAGTCACACTGCACCAATTTTTTTAATAAATATTTATTTTAGGTAGCAGTGACCATTTTAAGTATAAGGAACAGCCACTGTGATATACATGAAGAAACTACATCACTGCAACCAGCCCTTTTACTTAAATGGCATATTTTAAGATCAATAAATAATTTACCACTTTAGACTTATGTTGTTTTTAAGCAAACRCATTAACAAGGAAAATCACTGTGATATAGACTTGCAAAATACATATACCACAACGATCGTTCCTTTTAACATATTTGTCATGTAGGGGAAAGTATGACACAAAAGCAAAGCATGTAGTTTTCACTAACAAAAAGCTCGTTTCAAATTTTTATTGACTTCTAAACTAAATTTCTTTATCTATTTCTTTAAATAGATAAATTTGCAATGCAAGTGTTTGTTACTTTTTAAATGATAACGTCATAAAAAGTTGCCAAGCAGCTTTCACTAACAAAKCTCGTTACGCAAACTGTCACTGACTGCTAAATAGAATTTCTACTGTTTATTTCTTTAAAATTCTTACTTTGCTGTGTATTTATGTTTTTTTTTTTGATGAAAGCTTCGAAAAAACATGCCAGGCAGCTTTCACTAAGAGWCATTGAAGCTTTCACTCACTTCACAGTTAAACCTTTACATTTCATTTCTTTAAATTTTTACCCTACAAAACTACACCAAGTAGCTTTCCCTAACAAAAGCTCATCCCCAAAAACTTTCACTGTTGTATAGCACAATTAAATTTCTACATTTTTCTATGCCATGCCATCATTTTGTAACTTTAATGTAACTTTAATGTACTTTACTCCTGTTAGACCGTTTAAAGTTGTATTTGTTTTAAAATTATAGCACGAGTGTTCGGTCTAGTCACYAGACTTTTATACTATAATGAGCGACTAGACCGACAATCGCTGTTTAATTTTAAAATCATAAAGTTAAATATTATTCATATCTTAGACATTATACACTCGAGACTAATTACAGTTTGTTGCTGTCTGGTAACCACTTTTAAAGGCACACTGTGCCCAGTGTTGAATCAAACAACGATTTGCAACAAACTGTTGCACGCTGTGCCTTAAAACCTGGTCTAAAAAATTAAAAAATGTTTGACACTAGAAAGAAACTCATACTTTTTGAACACGCTGTAGTTTGGTACTGTTGGCATTATAGGACAAACTTTACCCAGTGATGCAGAAAATTCTACAGGAGTTGACACCATAGCTGAATATAGTTTGCCATATAATATTGTTTTGGTAAAATGGCGAAAATTAAAAAAAAAAATATTTTTTTTGGTTTTTGTTTAAATTTGGAATTCGGCTAATTTTGTTTAATGTACGAAATTCACTTAATATTTCTTTTTTCTTCGATTTTTGTTTATGCACGAAATTTTTTGATTTTTATTTAGCCAAAAAATTTAGTTTGATTTATGTATTCTTAATATCAAAATTCACTTAAATTCAATTTTTGATTTTTTTTAATGAAAAATTCACGTAAATTTTAATTTTTAGGTTTTTGCTTAAATATGAAATTCACTTGCTCACTTTTGATCCTAAAATGACAAGATCAGTGCGACGATCTCCTGCATTGTGATAATCCGTCAACCGCTGCGCCGCTATTTATACCAAAATCAAAGGTCACCGTGCCGCTTATCCTTTGTAGTTTTATCACCTTACCTGCCTTCATTACCATGGCATTATAATGGTTTGGATTTCAAGGTAGTATTGTTGTTGTAAACATTTAATGGTATGTTTAGTGATCGATATKGCTTTATTTACCAAGAAACGTGCAAAAAATTATTATCGATTTATTTATATGAAAAAATAAT